TGTGGGCCTCACCTCCTTTGTGCCTGGATATGTGTTTCTCCCACTGCAGTCAAGACCTGCGTTGTCCCTGGAAGATAGTAGGTGCTCAATTAATGATGGTTGTAAAGGGCTGTAAAGATGTGTGTATTCCATCCCAGGACTGGCACAGCACTGGGTATACAGTCATATGTGCTCAGTAAATATGTGGGAACTGCCACCTTTAATGATGTAGAATCAGCTATGAAGCAGGTTGCAAGAAGCCTGTGGTTTGTAGCAAAATGGGTGTAATATTTGATAGGGGCTGAATTCCCTAAAACATCTACGAGAAGGAGACCCCCGATCTGTAATTTATGTTTCTTTCTTGTGCCGTTAAGAGAAATGGGGTCCTGCTGGACTGTGCCATTTATCAAAGGACATGCTGCACCCTTTGGGGCTAAATTAACTTATTCCTCCAAGCCATAAATTTCTCTGTCACCCTTTCTTTATTTCCCCTACTCACAGGGAGGAGATAACAGACACATCAAGGCCACATCTTACTTACCAGTGCAGGACTCTGGGCTCTGAGCAGAAAAGAACAACGAGGGGTGATCTTACCTCCTGCAGCTAAAGGGAGTACAGAGAAACACTGAGCCGGGTGGCATCAGCTCGCTTTTCTTCCCTGGAGGGAAAATGGGCCATTATGCTCACCCTGCCCCGCTCCCACCAGCCCTCCACTTAACCTCCAAGCAAGAGAGGCCCCCTTTCTAGCAGGTCTCTCTGCTGGACACTCCAACAACATATTAGCATATTTTGCATTAAAAAGGACTTTGAAAATGAATTAAATGATTGGCATGGTATCTCAAAAGGGTTTTCCAAAGTACCCGTAATTGTGTGGTTTTCGCAATTCCCCACTCCTGCCTGAAATGCTGGGCCTGGCAGCCAGCTTAATCAGGAGACATTGTACCCGGCGGGGCGTATTTTAAGGCTCCTGATACCCAGTGATTGCCTGAACAGTACCTGGAGACTTGCTCAAGAGAACCTTGTCCTAGTTTTTGAGCAGAGTTGGCAGTTCAATTTCCTTCCTTACAGAGCTGAGATTTATGCCAATCTGAAACCTCTTTTTCTGAGAGGGCCTGGGTCAGCCCTCCAACAGTCTGCTGGGGCGCCAGGCAGTGTAGACTGGATCCAAATCTTGACAACCCGCTAACGGAGGTGGAGCTTGGGGGATGGGTGCTCGGTTGGTCGCTTATGGCCCTGCTCTGGCCAAGGGGGGAGGTGGAGCTTGGGGGATGGGTGCTGGTTGGTCGCTTATGGCCCTGCTCTGGCCAAGGGGGCTGAGGGTCGGGCAGGTGTGGTGGAAGCTTCCAGAGCATGCCTAGGAAAATGATGGTCTGGACCAACCTCTACATTTTTCAGGTGGGAGAGGTGGAGCCCAGGAAGACTACTGTTTGCTCAGGGTGACAAGTCATTTTTACTCTTCCATGAGAGGAGTTCAGTTTTCTTATATTTTTTACCAGTCCCTAGAAGAGAAAAATTAACCAGGAAAAAGAGTGTGGGGTTGGATAAGGTTTCTTGGGGGAGATTAGGAAACCTGAGCTGGAGGGATTTGGAAAACGACAAGCTGTGGGAGAACTTTAGTTCATCTAGAATAATAGAGGATTGTTATTAATAATTATAATTAACGATGTTAATGATTATGGTAGTGATTGGTTTCTCTGTTCCAGGCACCGCCAAGTGCCATACCTGTACTAACCCATTTAATCCTCACAGCAACTCTGTGAAGCAAGTTAATACCAAGACAGCCCTGTCTTACAGGGAGGAACCTGAGGCTCAAAGATTAAGAAACTGGCCCAAGCCCTGGACAGTTTGGCTCAGCGGTTAGAGCTTCGGCCCGTGGACCAGAGAGTCCTGGGTTCGGTTCCCGCTAAGGGCACGTACCTCAGTTGCAATTTGTCCCCGGCCCCAGTTGGGGTCGTGTGGGTGGCGGCCACTCAATGTGTCTCTCTCACATCGATGTTTCTCTCTCTCTCTCTTCACCCCTCCCTCTCGCTCTATCTGAAAATAAATGCAAAAAAAAAAAAGAAAGAAAGAAAGAAACTGGCCTAAGGTTACTGAGCTCTAACTTCAGAATCTGAGTCTTTAGAAAGGCATGGAGAGAATCTGTAAGTAGATGACCAAGAAATGGTAGGATCTGGCCAGCAGCCCCTTGGAAAGTGTTCGGAACAGAGACAAGACGAGGGAGAAGATGTCTAGGACACAGGAGAGTGCGGGAGGCACCTGGAAGGTTCTAGTAAGGGAGCAGAGTGGGTCTCGTGTGTGTGGAACAAAGGACCTCTCTGCACAGACGCCCCTGTCTGTGGGGAGAGCACCTGTGACCTAAGCACAGAAGCACAAACCTGGAGCTCAGGAGGGGAACGAAACAGAGTCCTGGTTTTTTAAGAACTGGAGGGAGCCCTGGCCGGTTTGGCTCAGCGGTTAGAGCGTCGGCCTGCGGTCCAGAGAGACCCGGGTTCGGTTCCCGCTAAGGGCATGTACCTCGGTTGCAGTTTGTCCCCGGCCCTGTTTGGGTCGTGTGGGTGGCGACCACTCGATGTGTCCCTTTCACGTCAATGTCTCTCTCTCTTTCTCTCTCTCTCTTTCTCCCTCCCACTCCATCTGAACAAAATATAGAAAAATGTCCTCCAGTGAGGATAAAAAAAAAAAAGAACGAACTGGAGGGTGAGGAGGGCAGGTAGTGAAGAAAGGAGAAAGGGCGAGAGAAAGGGATAGGGAGACAGAGAGAGAGAGAGGGAGGGAGAGAGAGAGGGAAGGAGGGAGGGAGGGAGAGAGGGAGAGAGAGAGAGAGAGAGAGAAGACAAGAATATGCATACACACACACACACACACACACGCACGCACGCACTCACGCACACCCCCTCGGGAGTGACTGTAAGGAAGACTGTATCCTCAGACCAGCTCAGCCTGGCTCATTGTGTCAGAGGCCTGATCGAAGCCTAGGGAGAGAGGGAAAGCTTGGCCCTTGCATATTTCCACCGGTGTCAGCCTAAAGGGGTCTCAGGGGGTGACATCCCATAATACCTCGTTTACTAGGGAGCCCTCATGCTCAGCGAGGTAACTGGAGACCGGAGCGCAGTGTTCTGAAGGAGCCCCAGGGGACATGGGCTGGGGGACACTGCAGGATCAAAGAGGGGGCTGCTCTGGAGGGGTGAGTGGTTTGTTCCGTCTCAGATATGCCCCCTTCATAGGGTTGATGGATCACACCTATAAATGGTTACATGTTCTTCTCTGTGGGAGTATAAACCACACACAGTGGGTATAGGCTCTAGCAGGGTCTTGTGGTCTGCCTTTTGTTTTACAGAGTCTCCAGGAGATGGCAGATAATTCTTTTCTCCTACAAAGTGAAGGTTTTGATCCTTTTTTCTTTTATTTTTTATTTTTTTTATTTTTTGGTATGTGCCCCTAGCAGGAACCAAACCGGGACTCTCTGGTCCGCAGGCCAATGCTCCAACCACTGAGCCAAACCGGCCAGGGCTTGATCCTTTTTGCAGCAGTCATTAAAATACTGCATTTCAGCAAAAAAGTTAGAAAGCATTTACTTAACTCTGAGCCAGCAATTTAATAGAATATTAAACAAATATTATAATAGTGGTTATGAGAACTATGTAATAATAAGGATAGATACATATATGGGAGAATAGGCAACACAGGAATATATAGAGTGTATGTGTAGTAGAATAACAATTTTTAAAGAATCCAGAAATGCTCAAAATCAGAGAGGTTAAGTAGCTTACCCAAAGTTACACAGCTGATAAGTGGCTGAGCCAGGTTTCAACCCAGAGTGCATCCTCTTCATCACAACTACACTATTACTACTAAGGGTGTCTTATGATACATTTTAACTTCATATCTGAAAATCCAAAACAATGTGTCTTGGTATATAAAATTTGTTTGTAGCCCTGGCCAGTTTGGCTCAGCGGTTAGAGCGTCGGCCTGCGGTCTGGAGAGACCCGGGTTCGGTTCCCGCTAAGGGCACGTACTTCGGTTGCAGTTTGTCCCCGGCCCTGGTTGGTCGTGCGGGTGGCAGCCACTCAATGTGTCCCTTCACGTCGATGTTTCTCTCTCTCTCTCCCTTCCTCTCTCTCCCTCCCACTCTATCTGTACAAAAAAATGGAAAAATATCCTCGGGTGAGGATAAAAAAAAAAAAAAAAATTTGTTTGTAAACAAGGCCTGTTACCTTTTATTCTCATCAAAGAGTTTCAAGAACTTATGACTGTAGTTAGAATTGGGTGAGGGACTATGATCATTTTTCTTTACTGTTTACATTTTATTTAATGTGCTTATATTCTCTTTATAAAGATCTGCACATATATACATGCCTATAAATTAGATTAAAAATAAGAATAAGAACAATATGAAAGTCTCCCACCTCATTCTAGGAGCTGGGCAAGGAAGTTTCTGTACTTGAGCACTACTGGGGACTTTCAGTCTGTTTGGGTTGCATCGCAAACATACTATGGACTGGGTGGCTTAGAAACAACAGAATGTATTCCTCACAGCTCTGGAGGAAGTCCAAGATCAGAGGGCTGGCAGCTTCGTTGTCTGGTGACTGCCTGCGTCCTGGTTCACTGATGGCCATCTTCTTGCTGTGTCCTCACATGCAGAAGGGACAACGGAGCTCTCTAGGAGCTCTCTGGGATCTCTTTTATAAGGGCGCTAATCCCATTTGTAAGGGCGCCACCCTCATGACCGAATCACCTCCCAAAGGTTCCCACCTCCTAATACCATCACATTAGGCATTAGCATTTACCATATAAATTTTCGGGGGGCACAAACGTTCAGTCTATCACAGGGACCAAACATATAAAAGACTGGTTTCACCTGCAAGTGGGAAGGAATTTAGAAGTGGAGACCAAATATACCAGTCGTGTGACAATAATCGCAAAACAAAAGCTCCAGCAGTTGAAAGGGGTCTGAATTTTAAGAGTGCCAAAAGGATACAAAATAAATGACCCCAGTGGACTCCATCTTGACAGGTGTTTTGCATATCAAAGGTAAGTCTAGAGAGGCCATGGCCCCAGTCTGGTGGAAGGCATGGCATGGACAGATTGCGAAGGGAACTCTGCTGGTGCTGAGGAAGTGGATTTGTCTTCCTGAACAGGGAGAATCTGAATATGCCACATTGAAGGACTTGACCGTGTTAAATTACGACTAAACATCCAAAGGACACTAACTGGTACCAGACCTCTGTTTGGTCTAAGATGCCCACCCTCCTTTCCAAAACAAGAATCAGGTCAGTGAGCTCACTTACCAGCCACCCTACTTACATGTGGTGGTCAGGGCATGATTCAGCTAATCAATTTTGCAAATTTTTAGTGGGTTTGCAGGTGGGGAATGGAGTATAAGAATTTGAGATTCAAGAAATGTATTTTATTGACTAGACTCTCTGTTTTTTTCTCGCTCTCTTCTCCTGGGACACCCATTATTCTTATGTTGCTCCTTCTAATGGAGTTGGATAGTTCTCGTTGAGGTTTTTCATTTTTTAAAAAATCTTAATTCTCTCTCCTCTTCCACCTGAATCATTTCTAGATTTTTATCTTCAAATTCGCTATTTCTCTCTTCCTTCTGGTCTACTCAATTTCCAATGCTTTCTAATGCATCCTTCATCTTATTTATTGAGTTCTTCAGTTCCAGAGTTTCTCTTTGGACCTTTATTGAGTTTCCATCTCTTTGGGACACTATGTCTTCTGTTCATTCCATTTTTTCCTGAGCTCATTGAACTGACCTTCTGAGTTTTCTTGTATTTTGCTGAGTTTCTTGATGACTGTTTATATTTGATTAACCAGTGTTACTTCACGTTAAAAAAAAGTAATGAATAAAACGCATTTCAGAAATGCCGTCACATTTGAGCTTCATTGCAGTCCCGTGGGGCGGCCACCAAGTAAACAGCTTAGTTTCCATGCCCGCTGGAGGTACAGAATGCAGCTTTCCCACGTGCCAGCAGATAACTGTCTCCTGTCTCTGGCGCTCCTTAATGGCTCTTAGCAGAGTTAAGGCTGAGAAGAAAGAAACTGACTTCCTCTTATTGGGTAACATTGAATCGCCGGGAAGGCAATTCCATTTCAGACAGACCCTTTTCTTCTCAGATTACCCATCCACAGCCTGCCAACTCCCTTTCAGCTCACTCAGGTAAAAGGGAAGACAGAGGCCACCTGACTGGGGGATGGGCAGCGGGAGGACCGATCAACTGGGTGCTTGGGATTTGTCAACTGAGAAATTTGCATTTCTACTTAAGGGCCACGTCCTGGTGTGCTCCAGCTCAGTGGCTGCCTGTCTGCAAGTGTCAGTTTGCAGGGACCCAAGGAAGTCCCAGCATAAATATACAGCTAGGGGGACTGGGTTGGGAGATACCAGAGCCTTTAGAACAGCACTGTGAAGCCTGCAGTGAGCACCCTGGGGAACACCCCTGTGCACTGGCCCGTCCCTCACGTGACCTTTGTCTGTATAAGAGAAACTTACCCTGAGACTTTGAGATTTATTTTTATTTCTCTGAAAAGAAATAATCAGGTAGGTCTATCCCAGCATTATTTATATGGTTGTTCAACAAGAGCTGAAGGGTAAAATAATTCCACAATTAAATAAGTTAATGGTTAAATAAATAAGCAGTAGCAACCCTTCAGTCATGCAGCAAATCTGTTTAGTAATGTGATTTTTGTAAGTGTTAAATGAAAGTACAGGATACATACTGTATATACAGTTTTTATTTAAAAAAGCACACACACATGCGGATTGAAATACAATAGTCCCTGCCCTTACCCATGGGGAATATGTTCCAAGACCCCCAGTACATGCCTGAAACCCCAGATATATGCTATGTCTTTTCCTGTACATACATACCTATGATAAAGTTTAATTTGTAAATTAGGCGCAGGAAGAGATTAACAATAATAACTAATCATAAATAAAATAGAACAGCTATAACAATATTCTGTGATAAAAGTTATGTAAATGTGGCATTATTGGGTAAAACAGGGTGACTCGAACACAAGCATTGCAATACCATGCCGGCTGATCTGATAACCGGGCCGGTTACTCAGTGACTGACTGGCAGGGACTGTGTGCAGCGCAGAGACGCTGGACAAAGGGGTGATTCACATCCCGGGCCCCACAAGATTTCATCACACTACTGAGAACTGTGCGCAATTTAAAACGTATTAATTGTTTATTTCTGGAATTTTCCATTCAATAATTTTGGGCCACAGGTAACTGAAACCCCCAGAAAGCAAAACCGCAGATAAAGGGGGACCACTGTACAGCAAAATGTTGACACCGTCAAGACTTAGACCCAGAATCAGAGACGACTGTTTTTCTGCGTTTATTTCTAAATTTCCTACTATCGCTAGACAGTCTTTTTTTTCTGATTATAGAATTTAAACTGTCATCTGCCCTCGTTTCTGTTTTCTTTCGTTCTGTTGTCCTTTTTCATCTCCTCGCATGACAACCTCAGCCTTGCCGTCTGTGTCCTGGTGGAGCCATCTGTGTCCTGCCCAGCCAGGCGTTCGTTCTGTTGCTGACAGGACACAGGACATGAGGAGCACGCGACGAAACCTGAACAGCTCGGGTCCCCTCACCCGTCGTCCGCTCCTCCTTGAGTTCATCTAAACCCTTCTTGAACTTGTTTATATTTTTAGCTGGTACAGCCTCTCAGGCCCGGGGAGTTCCATGTGTTTTCCACCCTTGGTGTGAAGTCACTGAGGCCTGCCCAACGGGTATCCTCAGCTGACCTCCTTCCGACTGTGAAGGGTTCTCCCTGTTTCTGTGTTTCCAGCATTGAGGGAACCAAGTAGGAACAGCGGTGACACACTCACTCTTAGCAAAGCACACTTTCGGCCATCATCGATGTTGTAGATTTGCGTGATGTTGGAAGAGACCTCAGAAACCGTTTAGGCCAGTGTTTTCCTAAAAGTCCACATAATGGGAGTCAGTATTTCCAGAAACCAGTGGAAATTGTACAGTACCCAGGAAACGGTGGCACTGGCTGCCCAAAAATACCATGGGGTTGGGAGGGGGGTTGTTTTGTTTTTTTTCCTCTGGGCTGGAATGGGATAACAATGGTTACCTTGTTTTGATCAGAAACTCCGGCAGTTATACGAATGCTTCCCTGTTCTGTTAATGGAGAAACTAATTCATGTGTGAGAGACAGAACCTTTTCCAACTGGGCATGTAAGAAGGGGGACAGTGATGGGACCCTGCTAATCGGGGCAGGAAAATCCTGGCACACCTGACAGATGTGCAAGGGGACTCCGGCCCAGATTCCAGGTTCTCCAGCTCCAGGGCCTGGACTGTCTCCAGGGCACCCAAGCTGCCTGTCTGTTTAAACCAAGCTCCTGAGAGGTGTTTCTGGTACTGAGACTAGTTTAGGGTACTTTGAATCTGTGCACATTCCAGCTGTGGTCTTTCTTTCCAGGATGAGTCCTCGCTCTATAAAATGATTGTTTTCATTGCCTCTCATCCTCCCATCTTGCCTCACTGTGGAAACACAGACTCCCAGGTTCAGCACAGTGCAGTGGAAAAGTAGGTGGACTCTGGAATCGGACAGCCTGAGTTCAAATCCTGACTCCCTTTCTCACCAGTCCGTGATCCCAGGCTTAACTCCTCTGAGCATTAGTTTTCCCGTCTGTAAAATGGGAATGGTGATAGCATCTGCCTTCAAGGGCCCGTGTGAGGACTAACTAATATAATGAATGAACATGCTTGTTGTTACCACCGACATCAATGTTGTTCTTGTCAGTTTTCTATGGAAGGGCCAGGGGCCAGGATATACTGCCAGGTATGAACCCCTTTTGCTTTGCTGGACCAGTGACAGTTACCCCACTGGCTTTTTCCTTTAGGGGGAAACAACCCAGTTCCCATTTCAGAGGGAGCAAAGCAAGACCCAGAGGACTAATGTGACTTGTTCAAGGTCGCACAGTTCTTGGGGGCAGGGGGGCAGAAAAAGCCCAGAGCTCTTCGCTCTGCACACCTCCTTTAACCCTCCACCCCCAGCAGGAAAATGGGTAGAATGAGAAAAAGACAACCAGATCTCGGAAGCCCTTGTTCGGGGCGCCAGGCCCTGACTGTGAGCCTGCCACTCGGTTAGACTTTTGTTTAGTAGCTTTAGGCGCTGCTGTGGGTAGAGCTTTGACGAATCCCTTCACTTTCCCTCCTTCCTGCCTTCGCCGACTGCTCTCTGGCAGGAACCTGAGAACTCTGGGGGGTGGGTGAATGGCGGAGACACGGGGCCTGCAGAAGAGCAAGGAGTGGGCTGGTGGCCTCGGCCTGGGGACAGCCCTTGCCCCCCTTGCTCGCTCCAGCGGGCACGGCAGGGATTCTCTGAGGCACCTGCCCCCCTGAAAAGCACCTTCCAGGTCGCTCTGGCCCCCGAGCCAAGGCCTCCCCACCTGAACCAACCACTTCCTGCGCACACCTTTGCGATGCCAGACATTCTGGGGCCGCGACGCAGCACGGGCCTCACTTCCTGCCTTCAAGGGGCTCGCAGGTGGGGAAGGTCAGGCACAGACTGTGAATCAGATCACAGGGGGATTCTGACACAGACAGGGCGTCGGGGGACAGCATTCCGGGCAGAGGGTGGCCCCAGCAGAGGCGCACAGGTGTGACCTCGCTCTTGGCGTGGAGCTGAGTTCTTCGTTCTTCTGGGTGGCTTTGAGTGTGCTTCTCCCCCAGCTAGACTGTCAGTGTTTCTGGGCCAGAAATTGTGACTCCTACCGCACCTTCAAGTGTGTGATTTTATGTGACCTGCTAAGCAGCTTTGTGAAGTCAGATTTGATCCCTATTTTACAGATGAGGAAACGGGGCCTTGAGACCGGGCCATAGTAGCTCGTTGACCCAGTGACTATGCCTACATTTGCCCTCAGTTCTGAGGTCGGACTCCAACTCTACCTTTGGTCTTCCCCTCATGGTCCCCAGCGGGGACATGTAGGTGGATTCAGGGCTTGGCTGCAGGGCCTGTTCTGAAGATGCCGAGAGGAAGCAAAGAGTTCAGCAGAAAGGGTGTGGGCTTTGGAAGCAGGACCCCTGGTTCATGTTCAGCTCTGCAGGCATGAGTTGCATGGACTTGGAATAGTCATTTCTCTTTGGGACTCAGATTGCCTGGTTGGAAGATGAGAAGGTTGTAGGAGGTTTGATCTCTTAAATCTGGAGAACTGGGACTGAGAACCGTGGGCCCCGGCACTTCCCACTGAGCGCCACCAGCCCTACCAGACCCGCACTGCCCAGCCCCTCCCCGGCCCCTCC